GACGAGGACGACGAGCAGGAGCTGGAGCAGGAGAAAGACGAGGAATATGAGGAGGACGAGGAGGATGAAGACGACGACGACCAGGATGGGGAGGTCGGGGAGGAATACGAGTAGTACGTGGACGAAGTGTGGGCATTCGAATGCGTGCGGGGCTACGCCAGATTTATACTCGCCGTCCGGGCTGGCGGTGGGGCCCAAATGGCGAGCTGTCTTGTGATTATGTTTTAGTTGTTTAACCGAGTTAGCGAGGGATAGGCTCAGGGCTGGATGCACCGACCCCGGTCGTCAATTGATCGCCGATAGGCCCGATAGCCCCAATCTGCCCAGTAACAGGCGGATCCGATGTACTGGCGATGTGTCGTCACGGTCCACCTCAATCGTCCCCATTCCATGTTGGAGGAGAAACATGGACCACCGCCACCTAGGACCCATCGGGGGAGGTGGGGGTAGGGACGACCCCTGGGCGGTGGCATGCCCGAGCGTCAACTAGCACCGGACGACGCTCACGCGTACCATCGTCCAGGGGTGGCCCCACCTGTGGGTTTTCGGTGGCTATGTTTTCTGCTTCTCCTGTGGGTCAGGCAGCTTGCCCCGCTTGAGGCTGAAATCTCCCTTTCCGGCCTTAACCCGACCTTTACGCCCCCCCAATTCGGACAGGTTTTGGACAAGGATAAATCCGTTCCAGAGCGTTCCGGAACGCTCTGAGAAGGCCGCGGCGCCCGAGACATCGTCCACAGCCGCCAGGTCTCAGAGATTCTCCATTTATCCTCACCCAATTTTATCCTCGTCCTTGCTGGCTTCGTCTTACTCATCCTCCTCGGCTTCATACTCCTCTGCCTTCCAAGACATCCGACGCCGCGATCGTTCACGACGCGCCTTCCGATCTTACGACGGCGTGAGCCCCTCCCCGGGGACCTGCTTTTCGTCCCGAGCATTTCGTTTCTCGGCCCCCTCTTCATCCCGAGTCGCTTCGTAACGGACCCCGCGGCCCGGCAGGGTCCCACGGCGGCCGAGAAATCGGCCGAAGATTTGCCGTCGTGGATTTCAGAGCCCTGGAGGCCGAAAATGGCCGACGTTCCGCCGCGGTGGTTTGTTTCACGACGCGAGGGCGCCAGGTCGTGATCGTTTCGCGGCGCGCGGATGTCGGGGCTCCCGAAGGCCAAACAGTTTCACGGACATGAGTTTTCGGAGGCCCACGCGGCTTTCTTGGATCGGCGCTGGGACACCCTCCCTGGCGCGCCGAGCGCGCCAGGGGCGGCGCCAGAGGCGCTGCCAGGGGCTCCCGGCGCGCCGATCCAAGAGTTCCGCGCGGGCCTCCGAAAGTTCATGCTTTTGCAATGTTTTCCCGATCGGGAGCCGTCGGCGCCGTGGCCGCCTCCTCCTCCTTCTCCTCCACCTCCTCCTCCTCCTCTTCCTCCTCCTCCGGTCGCGATCCCGCCCCGGGCCGCAAGCGTCGGCGGCTCGCCGTGCCCGCGGGCCTGGGTGCGGGCCCGACGCCGCGCCGGGCGGGGGATGACCCGGCCGCTCACCGCGGCCGGACCAGGCTCGCTTCGGGCAAAGGGCGGGGGGTGGCGTCGCGGTTGTCCCGAGGTCGTTTGGCTGCCCCAATCGTTTGCTCGGAGGCAGAGGAGGTACTTACCCATGCCGCTACCCTCGTCGCCACGGTCGGATTGGCCTCGAGATTCTGGTCAGGACGCACCCTGGGAGAGGTTCGGGGAGTAGCGGCATCGGCATGTATTACTTGGGTCGCAGTTGCCCCGCGGTTGTTGGCTTGCCCCGACCGCCCGCCAGAGCCAGGTCCGGCCGTTTGCGAACGGTCTCGTCGGTTTGTCAGCTTTGGGGCGCACTGCGGGCGCGCCAGGCTCGTGTCGAACGAAGGGCTTCGGACTTGCTTCGCGGTTGCCCAGCGGTCGTTTGGCTGCCCCGACCGGTCGCTTGAGCCAGGTTGGACCTTCAGCGGCGCAAGAGACCATTCAGAAGATCGGTATGATTTCAATTTCTGGCAAGATATCAGAGGAATCACAAGACAGCTCGCCGCTTGGCCCCACCGCCAGCCGCCAGCCCAGACGGCGAGCATAAATCGGGCGTAGCCCCGTACGCATTCGAATGCCCACACTTCGTCCTCGTACTACTCGTGTTCCTCCCCGTCCTCCTCCCCATCGTGATCGTCGTCGTCGTCCTCCTCCTCGTTCTCCTCATCCTCCTCGTCTTCCCCGTCTTCCTCCTGCTCCAGCTCCTGCTCGTCGTCCTCGTCAGGTCATCGTCCTCATTTCTCATCTTCTTCCTTCTGCTTATCCTCCTTCTCCTGGTTCCTCGGTCCTCGACGCCCTCGCTGGCCCGCTTGCGGTTTTTCTCTGGGTTAGGCGGCAGAGGCCATGGTTGCGCCCTAAGTTTAGCCATGGGTTGCGCCATAGGTTGCGCGCTAGACGGCTGAGAATAAAACCGTCTCCGATCGGATGCGCCATAGGTTGCGCCCTCGGCGGCCGAGAATAGATCCGTCTCCTGTTGGTTGCGCCATAGGTTGCGCCCCAGGCGGCTGATAATCAAACCGTCTCCTATTGCTTGCGCCATGGGTTGCGCCTTCGGCGGCCGAGAATATTATTGGTTGCGCCATAGGTTGGGCCCTGGGCGGCCGACAATCAAACCGTCTCCTACCGGTTGCTCCATAGGTTGCGCCCTCGGCGGCCGAGAATCAAACTGTCTCCCATCGGTTGCGCCATAAATTGCGCCCTCGGCGGCCGACAATGAACCGTCTCCCATGGGTTTCGCCATAGGTTGCGCCCTCTACGGCCGATCATAAAACCGTGTCCTATAGGTTGCGCCTTAGGTTGCGCCCTCGGCGGCTGAGACTTCAAGCGTCTCCTACTATCGGTTGTGCCACAGGTTGCGCCCTCGGCGGCCGAGAATGAAACCGCGCCTTCGGCAGCCGAGAATACAGCCGTCTCCAATCGGTTGTGCCAGAGGTTGCGCCCTCGGCGGCTGAGAATAAAACCGTCTCCGATCGGTTGCGGCATAGGTTGCGCCCTCGGTGGTTGAGAATAAACCATCATTCTATCGGTTGCGCCATTGGTGGCGCCCTCGGCGGCTGAGATTTCAGACCGTCTCCTGTCGGTTTCGCCATAGATTGCGCCCTTGGCGGCCGAGAATAAAACCGTATCCTATTGGTTGCGCCATAGGTTGCGCCCTCGGCGGCCGACAATGAACCGTCTCCCATCGGTTGCGCCACAGGTTACGCCCTCGGCGGCCGAGAATATAGCCGTCTCGTAACGGGTGCGGCCAGTCAGTTCAGTTCAGTATGTTCAGTCAGGGTCAGTCAGTTTGCCTCGCGAGAAACAAGTTGTGGCTACGCCCGAAACAAGAGGTCATGAGAATGTTGCACTCCGGGATGTCCGAACCTTCCATGGCTTCCAACATTTTCCTATTGTCCCACACCGGACTGCAGAAACGATGGCCGCTACATATCATCACTTGGCATCGCTCGGACGTGTACATTTTTTTTCTCGGCGAGGACCTTCTGGGAACATCCTGGATCATCTTGCGAAACATAAGCGCGCGAAGCCGCAACCGAAACATACACGGGGAATGGACGTCCGAGCGATGACAAGATCATGCCATTCTTCTGTGTCGCCCGTGGGGGCGCGACGACAAATCGCGCCTCGCGCCTCGCGGTCCAGGCCAGAGCGGTTGCCCTGTACATGCAGGCCGGCGGGCGAGTAGGTTAATTTTGGCGGCGCGCAGGAGAAGGAAAAGGCTTGCTCAGAAGGCGGCGGAACTTTCAGAAGCCCTCTGGCCTTCTGAGAAGTGTTCGGTGTCTTCGGGGAAGGCTCAGAAAACCTCGCAGGAGGTCGTAGGAGTTTCGAGCCTGCTGAGAAGGCCCGCCCCTTTTCACTTCCCCCCCCGGGCCCGCCGCCGGTAAATGGCTGGTCCAGGGCCCACGGAAGCCTCGGGTCATTGCCAGGGAGGCTTGCTTGCCGCGGTGGACGAGCGGTCCTCGCAGCCCACAGCGGCTGTGCGGGGATGCGCCGCTGGAGGCAGATCCGGAGTGAGTGAGCCAAGAGTGGAGAGGGCGATAGAGCGACTCCTGTCAGCTGTGCCCGCCAGATGGTGGCGCCCAGGCCCGCACCGGGAGCGCGGATGACACCTGCCTGCGTTTCTCACAGCGGAATGGTCCTCTCCCTAGCCGTTTTTGGACGTTTTTTTAGGGCGGTCCCGTCGGTTTTTCAGCTTCGGGGCGCTTTCAAGCAGCCGCGCCTCACAGGGCAGCGCTCCAGGGGTGCGCCGCGATCGCCCCGAGCGCCGCTGGAGGCCCGAGCTGTAATCATGGTTCGAAGGCCAGATGATCCTTCGGGTCGGATGAGGAGGGGGATTGTAAGGCTGATTTCGACTTGGCCGATTCGATTCGTTTCAATTTCGATCGCTTCCAATTCCGATTCGATTCGACTTCTTGTTCCATTTTGATTTCGGTTTATCAATGGAGGCCTTACTGACCTGCCGATGCCTACCGATTCGACTTCTCCTGACCCAGCTGCCGATTTCCGCCGATCCGATTCATTTCGACCGACGATCCGACTTATCGATTCGATTGGTCTCCCCTGGGATTGGGACACGGGGGCTGCGACTTCTGCCGCGTGCAGTCGGCTTCGGCCCCGCCGCGTGTCGCTTCTCTGGATGGGTCGGCGCATCACGGCGCCAGGAGGCGCCAGGGAGACCAGCTGCGTGAGCTGATTCGACCCCCCCCCCTTGCTATCCACTCCTTCGTCCGCCCCGACAGGCGGGTTGCGCACGTGGAGGGCAACTTCGCCAGCACCGCGTACCTCCCGAAGAAGAAAAACGGAGGCTGACAGAACCTCCACCCTGCCGAGTCGATCGGCGGATCGTACTCTTTTCGGTTCTCGCGGGGGTGTCGCAGCCGCACCAGCATTTGGATGCGGGGAGGGTTCGACGGGCGATGCCCCGATCCAGCATTTGGATCCGTGAAGGGTTCGGCGGGTGAGGCTCAGATTTGGCATTTGGGTGTGGGGAGGGTTCGGCGGGTGAGGTGTCGCCCTTTTTCGCCTTCGGACCGTCGCGGTGCCGCGCAGCCGCTCCTGGCGCCGCGCCTCCGAAGCCTGCGCCGCGCTATTGCGGCGCCTGGCGCCGCGGGCGGACCCTGGGGGCGCGGCCGCGGAGGTGCCCAGGGGCAACGTGAGGGGGAGGAGGACGAAAAGGAGGAGGAGGAGGAAGAGGAGGAGAAAGAGGAGGAGGAGGAGAAGGGGCAGGGAGGAAGAGGAGGAGGAGGAAGAGGAGGAGGACGAGGAGGTGGAGGAGGAATCCGTAGCCATTATGACTCAAGGAGTGGGGTCAGGGCTCGAAGTGGCGCAGCGCCTGCGTGTTGCTCACACACGACTGCTGCCCGCAGGTGTGAGCTCAGCATTCAGTACCTCCCTAGCCGCGATGGGAGGGCGAAGTGCTGGCGGCAAGGACAAGAGCAAAGCCTCTAAGAGTGGCAAGGGCAAGGGCAAGGACAAACCCTCCACCGTATCGTCAGTGTCGCAGGCGCCTGTGTTTTTGTCCTGGACATGTGCAGGATGCAACGCCCAGGTGATTCTTCAGCACCAATGGTGCTGGCGCTGTGGGGCCCATTGGCAAGCGCAGCCATCGTCGAGCCCAGCGGGCGACCAGCACCAGGGCAGCCGCAAGAAGAACAGGGAAGAGGCCACCCCCGCAGTTAAGAGCCAGCCCCAATTCCTCAAGCTCCAGAGCACCTTGGACACGTTGAAGAGTCTGGAGTCAAAGCAGGAGGGAATAATGCTCGAGCGTACGGGGGAGGCCATGGCATCGATCAACAATATCTTGGGCAAGTTGCGGGCTCACCGTGGCAGTGGCAAAACTGAGCCCCAACTGCAGCAGGCTATGTTCACTAAGTTGAACAAGGCGCAAACGCAGTTGGAGGCCCAGGAGGAGTATATCAACCACCAGTCCCCAGGCACTGGAGGACCTGGAGATCAAGCGTGCGTTGTTGTTGGCAGATCTTGATACGGCTAAGCAGATGTACGCCGAGTTAGAACAGAAAATGGCAGCCTTGAGGTTCCCCGCGCGTCAGGCAGACCCGTACTTTCCCCCTCCAGGCATTCCCGTACCGACTCACATACCAGCGGGGAAAGGCATGGCAACGCGTGCGATCTCCCAGCTTGGACCTGGAGGAGCGCAATTTTTAAATAGCATGAATTTTCTCGGCTGCAACTTGCACCCCAGCCTGATGCAGCAGCTGTGGGACCCCATGCAGGAGTTTGCGCAGCAGATTCGGCTGCAGGGTGGCTCGGCACCGTCGGGTGCAGCAGCTTCGACGGCGACGAGTGCATCAGGAGTTCGCGGAGAGCTCGCACATGCTCAAGCTGAGCTACGAGGTGCGGAGGCGGCTGAAGCTCATGTGACTGGGGCTGAACAGGCAGCTCGTCAGGCAGCGGATGCACGTGAGGAGCAGGGCTCAGAGATGCCACGGCAGCCGCTTGCGGGCAGGCGGCCTGCAGGTGAGGCTGCGGGCGCAGCAGAGAAACGGGCGAGGGCTGAGGTTGAGGCTGCCGAGGAGGGCGCTGCGGCGACGGAGGCTGCGGCGCCTGGGCGGCGTCTTTAGCGCTCAGCAGGTGGCGCATGCCACCGAGGGGCTGCTGATCCTCACCGTCAATGCTAACTGCTGGACGTCAGCGGCCGCCTACATCAAGTATCGTGGGGCACGCGTAGTACTCGTTCAAAAACACAAACTACATGGTCAACGGTTGCCGGAGGCAAAAGAGTCCATGAAGAAGTTGGGCGGGCAATCTTCCTGGTCGGACTGTGAGATCACTGGCAAAGGCGGCTCGCCAGCAGGTGTAGCCATCCTAGTTCGCTCTCATCCGGGCGCTTGGCAGGGCCCCAGCAGAGAACGCGATTTGGTTCAGTAACGTTCAGCATCGATTGATTCACGCGTTTGTTTGATCAACGTCTTTGGGAAGTATCTCTGCCTACTGCGGCTACTTCCGCGACAATGTGGGGCTAGCCCCTAAGAGTGTGCTCATGGGGCAAATCCTTGGTAGAGATGTGCTTCGCCAAGGGTTACCTTTCTTGCGCGCAGCAGATCTCAACATGAAACCACATTTACTTCGAGAAGGACTGGCACCGCACAAGTGGAATGGACAATGTGTTCTACCCAATCAGATGATTACGCGCATGAGCTCCGATCATGGGAAATGCGATGGTTATTTAATTTTGGGCGAACATCTACCCCCGACGGTTAAGTCGGCCCGAGCGGGCATGGAATCAGACATCTTCCCGCGCGCGCAGGCCTGTCTACCTTCGGCCCGCCGCCGAGGCGGGAGACATTCGCGTGCAGCGGTTGCGCAGCTTTGCGCAACTTCCAGTGGACTGCCTCATTGGATGCAGACCGCGCTCGCCTGAGTACGAGCACTTAGGTGAGAAGCTCAGCGTTCTTTTGCAGCCTCTGGAGGTCTCAGGTGGCTTCAGACCCCCCTTCAGTGGCGAGGTGCGCACCCTGCAGAGCGGCCTCGACGAGGCCTACGAGGAGTGGTGTTCTAGGGCTTGGAAGGAATTGGAAGGAGTCTATCAAGCTAGCCCCCCCCCCCCCCCCCCCCCCCCCGGGTTCAAAGGAAGCAAACCCCATGAGCTGTGCGAGGCCCCACTGCGCGAGCTCTCGTGCACTAGAAGGTCCCCAGCGAGAAGCCCGCATAAAACATTTCACTGATTGGGCAGACGCTGTAATGAGAACATATGTTTGTTTGTTTCTGGGCGATATCGAAAGGATCTTGGTTATTATTGAAAAGTCCTGGAGGCCACGCATCGATCGACGGAGTCGGGGGGGCATTCTTCGCTTCCGCCATCCTGGGGGCCTGGAGCTCTGGATGGGGGCCCTCCGCGCTGCGCTGGGGCCGCGCTGGGATTCCAGCTTCGCGCAGTTCGTCGATGTCTTGCCGACAGTTTCCTGGCCCTCCAGCAGCTGGCGGATTTGAAGGCCGCCTTATCCTTGCCGAGGGGGAAGGCGGGGAAGGCCCAGAAGGGTGCCCATTGGTGCGCGGAGGCGCTGGCGGGAGGGGCGAAGTGGGTTCACGCCTGCGCCGAGGTGGCACGGGATCGGAAGCAGGATCTTGTGCCCGCGGACGACCCCCCCCCCCCCCCCCCTCGCCCCATCTCTTACGAGGCAAGTGGAGGAGGAGGCGAAGCGGCGCAAGGCTTGGGGGGGGGGGGGGGGGGGGGGCAAGGGGCAGAAGGAGCTGATATGGCCTGAAGGCATGATTATCCCAGCACCCCCCACACCAGAAGAGACCCGAAAATTTAGTCGAAGTTTCAAGCGATCGGCTATAGCAGCAGATGGCTTCCACCCTCGGCATTATCACGAGTTGTGCGATGGGCGCGCCCTTAGTTTTCAGCCAGGTCATGGGCCTGATGGCGGTGCTCGGTTCATCCCCGTCCTGGATGCGAAAGTTGATTATAGCCCTGTTTCGGAAGCCTGTATCTGGTAGGCGCCCAATTGGATTTTATCAGAGTTTGGTCAGGATGATTCCCAGGTGGCGCTCCAGGGCTTGCAAGGAATGGGGGCCTCGGTTTTCCTTTTCTGGTGTATATGCATAGATTACGATGATTATTATTCTTGGTAGTGTTATTATGATTATATATATGTATATATACCAGATGAGGGCGGGTCGCTCGCCTACTGCGGACGCGGTTTGGAGGCAGCGGGCCCGGGGAGATTCATCAGCAAGTGAAGAGCAGCGCGTGCTATCTCTGCTAGCTGATATAATCCAATGCTACGGACATGTGCAACGCCCGCAGTTAGTGCACGCGGCAATAGACTGGCAATATCCACTGTTTGCCGTTCGCTTCTCTCTGCGCGCGTGCGAGTGGGGGCGCGTGCTCAGCGTGGGCGGAGTCATGTCTAAGTTTTTTTTTTCAACCGCACCAGGGCATAGTAGCAGGTAGCAGCGCGGCGACACTTGAGATTAACGTGCAATGTATTCCAACGGTCAATAAGTATCCTGAAGAGTTCCCTCCCGAGTCTGGCTGTCCACGTGGGCGACTTTGCGTTGAATTCGAGAGGCGGCTTCATCGGGGCATGCGTCAACAACGTGGCGCTGGCACTCGCTTTCCTGATAGACCATCTGTCACAGCTGTTCAATCTCATTTTCCATCTGAAGAAATATTGCAGCACGGGCCCCAGCGAGCAGTTGGTACAGGCTGCTCAGGAGAACCTTGTGCAGTACGCGGGCGAATGCGACGTCTCGGTTTACAAATCTAGGCGTGGACTAGAGCCCAAGAAAGCACAACATGCCGAATCATATTCAGAAAAAGCGCCGCGAACGATGGAACAAGCAGACAACTAGACTGAAGACGATAAACAGCTTTTTATTTAACAAATCAAACCCAAGAAGGAGTCGAGCTAAGGTTTGGTTTTGCGGGGTGAAACCTGCCACTGCGCATGGGGGGGAGAGGTGGCGGGGTGAAACCCTGTCGAAGTCCGTCGTCTCCGTTCGCAAGCTGCAGGCTTTCTTGGGCTAACTAGTTGTGGAGCTGATTTGAACTGGGCCTTTCCACTGGAACCGAGCAAGGATCCTTTACGACATGCAGGGGCTCCCCCCAGACGTTTCGCCAAGGAGTATTGGCTGGCCTCTGATGAACAACGCCGCCCCGGGGACTGTCTATCGATTGGGGAGCTGTCAAACATCCAAACTGCGACGCAGTTATACCAAGATCGTCGACCACGGGGCCCCTGGGACCTACTATCTTGGGGGCCCGAGGGCGATCTGCTTCTTATATATATATATAATCAGAAATAATCCGGGGCAATCACAGGCCCTGGCATTTTTACCATGCGAAGTGGAGCTCCATGTGTTTTGACGACCACACTTCATTGCCAAGTAGCTAATTATTTCGTCAAGGGCCTAGGTAAGGAGTTCGTGGCGCCCAGTGTGCGAAGGCATTCAGAATCTAGTGAACACGAGCGCGCGGGTGAAATTATTTCCAAGGGCTGCTGGACGGATCCTCCTAGGGCCATCTGGAACGGCAGAAGTTCTAAGAACAGCAAGCGCATCATCAAACAGGTGTTCACTAGAAGCTATGTTACGGCCAGCCATCTACATAGGTGGCGGTTTCAGGTGGAGCCCCATCTGTCCTTTCTGCAGGCAGGCGGCGGGTGGCTCCAT